TTTACATCGGTTTAGGTAGAACCGATGTAAAAATTGGATATGGTGGCATATTCGTAAATATAAGTTGAATGTAAAGCACATTTACGTCGGTTATGTACAAAATCGATGTAAATTTAAATATGTGGTGGCAATTTTGTAAATATTTACAAATATATCTACATCGGTTTTCAAAATAACCGACGTAGTATAGAACCCGTGAAAGCACAACCCTAGTCCCCTCCCTTTCCTTCTTCAACCAGCAACTTTAACTTCCTTGTTCCCTTGGTTACCCTGTAACGGCCTCGCACCCCTTTTCTCTTAAACCCCTTTTCCTTCCATCAAGCTTCAACCTTTCCGGTGAAGGGAGTCCCAACGGGTCCTCGCGTGTTCGCTCGCCAACGACGACGCCATTTGAGGGTGGAAATGTGCCCTTCGTGGGCGAGACCCTGCAACTGGTGTCGGCCTACAAGAGCGAGCCCTGCGGTGACTTTTGGACTCTTCCTGAGGTGACTTTTGGACTCTTCCTGCCCCGAGCCCTGGCTCAATGACCACGCAGATCCCTCCACCATCTTCTTCGTCGATGACAGCACCGGTGGCAACATCGCCCACAACATGGTGATACAGGGCACCGAAGAGGGCTTCAACAGGTTGAATTTTAAAGAGATGGTGCTGCTTCACCCTTACTTTGGTGCCGACAAAAAGGACGAGCTTGTGGCGTTTCTCTACCCCGCTTACGATTGACCCAGCAACCCCAAGATTCACTCCCCCATGGATCCAAAGCTTCCCACTTTGGCCTGCCCCAGGGTTCGGATCTTCATCTCCGAGAAGGACTTTTTGAGGGAGAAAGGGTGCGACTACTACGAGGCCCTCCAGAAGAGCAACTGGAGTGGCAAGGTCGACATCGTGGAGTTCTCCGGAGAGGATCACGTTTTTCACTTGTTCGATCCCACTAAGGAAAACTTTGTGTGTGTCTCAGGTTTTGGCCCCATTGCCCATTGGGTTTGCAGTTTTCATGGTTTTTGCCACATTCGCCTCAACTTCGATTCCTGGTCCCACCGGGTTCTCCTCTTGGAAGAAGCCAAAAAGGTTACCTTCTTCTCATTTTTTTCTCACTTTCCTCTCCATCTCTATATGTC